CAAACTTCTCAAAAGTATCTTTGGATGTCAACCGATTGTCCAGCTCGATGACGACCTCCGAGATCGCATTAGTCTTGAACTCGAATGCAGGTGTAGCGACCAAGGAATAGGTGATCTTACCCTCAAAAGTCAACAGCGTCACGATGCGCTTGTAGCTGGTGTTGAGGGCACCATCGTGGAGCACAATCTCGTATGGACCTGTGGCCAAGGAGCTGAAAGCTTGCAGCTGACCATGGTCAATGGAAGGAATGATGGCTGCCAGCGGTTGAGTGGTCTTGATCTTCGCCAACTCAGGAAGTTGAGCTTTGGTGACCAGAACTATTCCTCCTTTAGCCTCGGAAAGTTGGTGTCGGTGAACTTGAGGTACCACCGTTTTGTCTTCCAAGCGAAAAGGATGGTCCTTGTCCATTCGGAGGTCCTCCCACTTTGACTGTACCGAAGAGGACTTCTTGGCCCATGGGTCTCTGATCTGCAGCACATCAACAGAGGCGTCAACCGCCATAGCAACCGGCCCCGAGGAGGCCTGAGCCGTGGACTGGACTGCCCCTCCTGAAGCAAAAGCAGGAAAGATGCGGCCACGGAGCATGTCATGGACAAACCAGGCTAGGGCGTCTTGTGCAAACTTGTGGATATGCGGTGGGGCGATGGTAGCCCACACTTCATTGGCCTGATTGATCGCTTCAAAAAGCCTCTCCTCTGAAGGATTGGCCGCAATGGCCTGGAGGACACTGGCTCCTGGCCCAGGCAGAGCTACCTGGCATTTGGCAAATAGATCGTGAAGAAGCAACCATCCACATAGTCCGAGAGGTGGTTCACTGGGAAGCAACATCACCTGGGTTTTATCATCCTCAATGCCAATCAACTTCAACAGCTGCGTGGTCATGTGATGGAGCTCGTACCCATAGCTGGAAGGCGCTGAGATCCACATAAGGCACTGTCCAGAAATGCGCTGGATCTCACACATAACCCAATGCTGATCCCACAAAACCAGCGAGAAAACATGGGCATGGTATTGGCATTGATCTGAATATCCTCCAAAGGTGCAGATGGTGCGATTGGCCGATGACCATCTGGCTGGTGCAGTAAATGCCACATTAGGGCATCGGAGCCGCAGGATCTGTAGCAGATTGTCCGCAATGTCACTGCCCATCCAACCTGGGTAGCGGAGCATCTCATCAATGCGCTGGTTCTTGATGTCATTCAGCAAGGCATCATACTGCCCAAAATGGAGCACACTGCCGACAGGTCGTTGAGTGATTGTCTGAGGAATTCGAAGGACGAAGTCATACTCAATCACAGGTGCTGCCTCATTGGCCTGCAAGCCAAGATGATAGAAGAAATCAAGTCTCAGCTGGTGTGCAAAATGCCAGAGATGTGGTGGTGTGTCATGTGCCTGCCAGTTCTCGATGGATCTGTTGAGCACCTCATGTACTAAAGTGTAGCGCCAACTCGGTAGATCTTCCAAATCCTCTTCAAAAGATTGGAGCGAGTCATGCCTCCCATACCTCTCGTACCAGCGAAAGAGGAGAGCCCAACCACATGCATACTGAGCCTGATGAAAAAGGTCAACAAAAAGGTGCATCTTCTTCATCGTGATGTCAAGCCTCCGACAAAGGATGGAGGCCAGTACGTAAGCTGTGGCTGCATCTAGCCCAAGGATGGTCAGACAGACGGAGTCGCCTGAACGAGTGATCTCACATCCGACCCAGTGACACTTGATCAGCACAGCAAGCCAGGTGGTAGCCTCAATTGGGACTTCAGGAAAGTGAAAATGGCTCTCATCAAATTCCGTCTCAACTCTATCCCAAAGGAGAATCGCAAAAGCACTGCAATGTTGTGGATTGAGTTTCAAGAGCCAGTCCATCGCATACTGTAGTTCATCAGAAGCGCAGCAACCTTCTGTGCTGTTGCAGAAGTGGCATCTTTCAGAAAAGTTTGCTCCCTGCCGTAAGTGCCAAACCTCGTCTGGAGCTTGGGGATGGCCTCCTGCATACACATGGCCTGAATTGATCAGAGCGCACAGATCTCGATCTCGATGGACGACCGAAAGGATTTCCCCATCTTCACACTCATGGATTCTGGGGAATTCAAGTGAATGACCATTGACCCTCTGAATCATGAAGTCCTCCCCTTGGATGACAACCCTCGTGCTGTGGTCAACAAGGCCTCGTAGCGGTCGGACATGGAATTCGACATGTTTGGAGAGATTCTCAATGACAACTATGGTGTCCTCGTGAATGGCTGGGAGAAAGGCCCACCATTCATGTCCTGGGAAGCGCACGGAGTGGCCAGAGAGGCACTTGAGGGACCATTCATGAAAACCACGTTCTCGAAGGAATTCCCGAACGCTCTCGTGATTGTGCTGATCATACACTCGAGCAAGGATTGAGGTTGCAGGGTCAGTCCAGACCAAAACCACCGGATCAGAAGGGCCTTCTCCATCGAAAATGTGTGCACTTAATGCCTCTGCAAAGAAGCGGTGCACTCGAGCAAAGGCCTCAGATTGTGTGATCATGTCTCCTGCCGTGGTAGGGATCTCAACAGTTTCAATCACTGCGGAGGGCACGTACAGCTGTGTTGGTGAGATGTCTGAGGCATCAGGTTTCTCACCCTCATCGAAGCTAATATGCGCAACCTTGACCGAAGCTGCATAGACTTCCCACTCTTTCGAGATGATGACCAAATCAGAGATCTGTTCAACCCTAGAGGCGACAATCATGCCATGCCTCAGGGTGACTTGCGTCAAGGCATACTGGTCAAGTTCGATGCAGGATCGAAGCAGGTCATGAACCGACCATGTGGGGTCACAAGAACCCACAATGCCATGTGCACCCTGACAATTGGTGATCACACACTTCATGGCAGACGACTCTCCCATGGGGCTCCGGAAAGGAATGCGTTCAAAAGCAAAGGCAGCCTTGGAAATTGTCAAGAAATTCCCCTCAATCTGCACAAGAGCATTATGTGACGTAAGGCGGCTTGCCCAAATGTCATGAACAATCTGAAGAATTGGGATGGTCTCAACATGGATAGCCTGCAATCCTACCAAAATGGCGAGAGCAGCTTGAGGAACTGCAATGGCATTACCAAGGACATGGTATGCATCGACCGGCTGATACTCAACTGAGACCCTGGTTTGGCCCCCCAACAAAGCAACAATACGAGTAGGTTCAATCCATTGGAATCCATCGGGTCCTGAAGAAAAGAATGCAAAAAGGCCTCTTTGAGCGACATGGTGCGAGGCAAGCTCATGTTGATGGCGGTATGAAGCACAAATGGTGGGGAGTGGGTCCATCGGGTTGACAACACGTTCCCTCAAAACCGAGTCGATCACTGCATCTGACGCTACCCTGGCCTTCTTGGCTGGCGGGAGCAAACCACGGTTGCCATACAATCGTTGCAGCTCTTCGGAAAGAAGCAAGCTTTCTCGAACATCCTGAGGGAGGGGGAAGTCATAAAGACTGGATGACCATTGGCACACTCGCAAGGCTTTCAATTGGAATTGTTCTACAGTAGATGCAGGGTTCATATCAAGTCGGGCCCATGCAGACACCCATCGACTCCTCATGTTGTGGGACATCGGATGATATTCAACCACCTGTTGCCAGATCCTACGAAAACCACAAAGTTTCAGCAAATGGGAGACAAGTCCAAAGTGTGGGTGCTTCACGATCTCGTCTGCGCATTCATAGACTTGGAGATTGGGCTGCAGGATAACAGTAAGGACAACAGCTTCGATGAACGAGTACCCCGCTGAGGAATTGAGGCCTTGAGCCTTACCTCCTTTACTCCATGTCACACAAGGGGGAGACGCTGTTCCGACAAGATTGGAGCGGACTCGAATCTGATGGCACAAACTGCAGTCATTCACTGGAGCATATAGTCCTACATGAGAGCTGGGGCACCAGGGGTGCTCAGGTGCAGTCGATCCGAAATGCACTGGCTTCTCAAACTGGTTGGCCCAATTCTGCATGGTACGGGGATCACTGTCAACATAGAATTGCTGAGCAACATCGTGAAAAGGCTCAAATCTACAGATCGCCTCAAGCGCTTGTGACCAACCGCAGAAAGATCCAGAAAACATGTGGATCGCTGATATCGGACTCCGCGGCTCCCAAACTGGAACATTCGCAATGATCGTGTCTTTCATCATGTCGAATCGGTTGGGGTAAGTCTGAACTAAACCTCCAAAGAAAGTCACAACATCCCCTTGTTGAAAATGCCAGTCTCGAGAGCTCAAATCCGGCACCACGATCTCCCAAGTTCCCTCTCCTGAGAAACCAAAACCCTTCCCTGGGGAAAAGCTTCTGGGCCGCACCCACAACGACGATCCTGAAACGTCACGCACTTCTGCCTTAAAAAGCACTTTCCCAGCAATGCGAACAAAGGGGCCAGCACTACCAAAGGAAATGAAAAGCTCCTCAAGGCTATGCTTCCAGGGATCATCAATCTTAGATCTAATCATCTCTATCAAACGTGAGCCCATGATGCCACCAGACCACAACAAAGTCAGAACCACGGCACACTCCACAAAGACAGGGCTGCAAGTCCGTTGGCGGTCCTGCTTGATGGACGATGCACCCACCTTTCGAGGGTGGCAAGCACCCCTAGGTGGCCCTACACCTTCAGCCACTCGGCTTTGGGCCTAGATGGCTAGCAATCTATTCTGTTCATTTTCCGTGGTCAACCATCATCACTAAGTTCTACGTTCTTTGCCAACAGAGGCGATCGAGGGTGATTTGTATGGCGATCGACTGGGAAAATCCGACCTCTCCTGCTCCAGGATGCACCATTTTAGTCCAGTTCAACAGCACGCAGTGATGCCATGTTTGTGTGCTGTGTTCTCTTTTGTCCAGAGTGTTTTCGCCATGGTGTTGCATGTGTTTCTTGCATCACCGACGCCGGTTTTCCCGAGCCTTGTTGAGGCAAGCCTTGCTGCAAAGAACATGCTCTCATTTTGAGTCATGGACTGTTCAGTGTAGGTCTTCGAACAAGCCAAGGACTTTGCGGAAATACTGGCAGCACTACGTGATGCTCGTCATGATTATGATTCTGTAGACCACTGCAAGCAAACCCTCTGTCAAACGACTGTTGGCGCCAGCAATGCCGGCTTCATCCACATGCTGATTCAACAGGATTCAATGGCTACCTATCACAGTGGGTCAAGTTTTTTCCAATGTGGAGACCTGTTTGATTCGCATCAGTCATGACCCTTACTTTGCGCTGCTGTCTTCGTGACATCGTGGTGTGGCCCGCGCCCAAGGACCAAAGATGTCCGGTGCATTGCATTCTTCGTGGATTGCACGACGGAGGATCGACTGGAGGACGTCCGGACCCGACGCCGGTGGAGTGAGCCGTGTCCGAGGGAAGGAGACCAAGGTCCAGTTAGGGATCTTTGGAGCGAGCCGCCGGCATGAAAACAAGGAAAATCCCGAGGCGGGATGTGTGATCCTTGAGTGAAATTCAGATCTACAATTCACGTGCTGTGAATTTATCCAAAGGACCACACAACCATCATGAACCATCTATTGTTTGAGTCTTTTGTATCCTGGAACCAACATCATCATTGAAACCAATCAAAAATCCGCACATACGCAGGGTCCTGGTGTCTCTACCTTCCATTCCAATGGAGGCCGTCGATCCGGTCCCAGGAGGCCATCGATGCGGTTGCCGCTCTGCCTGTCCGGAAGCTGCTGCTCGTGGGCACATGCCAAGCTTCTCGTGCCGGTGCGGGTGCGGGTGCGGAGGCGAGACGCAGAAGCGGTCGCAAAAGGGAGGTGCCACGTGTTTGAAGCGAGAAGTCTGAGAGGTGCCACTGGCTGGACTGATGCATGTTGACATCATTGATAGAAGGGGTAGATAGGCCGGGAATGACCAGGATGGTTTGTTTTTGCTGACGGTGCCTCCACATTTGGGGAAGCAAAGGACAAATGAAAAAAGAAGGATCAGACCTCAAGTGAGCTTCACGGATTGTATTCCGATTATTGATTGTTCTGAACAGACTCGTCCTCAACTTTTCGCATGCTATAAGTTGAAGTGACCACAGTTTGTTCATGTAAGAATCTTATTTTGTAAGGAACTGGAGTTAGTAGTGGAGAATACTAACAAAAAGTGAGTCAAAGAGGGGAACAGATGAACAGGAAAAGTGAACAACCCAGTGCAACAAAAGTGAACAACTGGGAAACTGCCACTTCAAGACACTGGTAAGGCAGGCGATTTTTTTCTGAGATTACCTCCCAAGTGTGTAGCCGACTTCAGGTGACGGTTCAGTTCAGGGGCTTCCGATCCGACTCCTTCCTTGCAGCCCTCGAGCTGCTTTCAACAGTCTCGACCTATTAACCTATGCCCTATGCAAGCCTTAATTAAGATCTGCTAAGAGCTCGTGATTGAAGAATTCAGTATTCATTTGTAAAACTGAAATTGCAGTGAAAAGAATGGCATGTTATTGATGCAGTGTCTCTGGTGCAAAGAATGCTTTGGAGGGTTGCTCAATACTAACTCTCGATGTTCGTCTTCTTAGTCTTTCCGTTTGGGGCGCACCCTGTGCTTTCTTGACTGCAAGTTAGAAGAACAACAGGACTCTGCCCGCGTTGCTCACTCCAGGCGCCCCAGGCGCCCGCCCCGCGCTTGGCGCGCTTGGCAGATGTCCAGCAGCGTTTGAAGCGCCGAGGTCTTGAGGTCGGCAGGGACCGATGGGGTGAAGTTCCTAAGTTGGACCTTTTCCATAATCTCCTTGGTGAGCGAAGAGCGCCCAGATTTCGAAGTTTTGCAGACATCTCTCTATCTTACTGTTTTCGTTGGTTTGGAATCAATCGACTAGACCAGTATTAGCTAAATAGGCCGAAACGGTCAAAGCACCGTTCATGCACCCCTTTAGCGTTGATAGATCTGATCTTACCGAAAATGGCCAACACCAGAACCCAACACCGCTCCTCTATTGACGATCTATTTTGGGCTTCACCGAATCAACACGGAGAACGCATGGTGCTACCGATGATCTGCGCCGGAAGCGAAGCCGCGAGGTTCCTGGGTGCGCCTTGCTTCGCTTCACTCGAGACGGAGTGGATCAGCTGCTGCAGGACCGGGTGGTTCTGGGACAGACAGGACCAGGTGTGTTGCCGCTGGATGACGCCAACGGGGAAATGTGCGCGACGACTGTTTGCCGTGTGGGTCTTTCTGCCACATGTCGCAGAAAAAGAGCTGTTCGGTGTTCAACTAGGGTCGCTGGGTGTTCGAGACCAAAATTCGTGAAGTTGATTGGTTGAAAGAGAAATGGCATCATCGACACGTACGAAAGGGAAACATGTTCCAGTGCTTAGCGCCGCACTTTGGGGGTGCGGCATTTTTTTCAACAACCAGGACGACAACAGCAACAACAACAACAACAACAACGCCAATAAGATATAATCAAATCATATGTCAGAGAGTGCCCCAAACGCCAAGATGGCAGGCAGGGCACCAGACATATCCGTATATCATAGTTTAACATCCATTCCACAATCTTGCGGAACAAAGATGGATGGATTGTAAAAGAGAATGGACTGTTCCACAGACCTTGTCCATCAAACCGCAACCCTGGGTCGCCTGGGTCGACAAGCATCATGATCATCCAGGAGCTTGCGACAGTGGCGGCATGAAGTGCACAAAGAAGCGTCCTTTGAATGATGTTGTGCTTCGTCTTGTAGGTCAACCCAAACACCATCAAACAGCTCACATTCGCTGACGAGGCTTCAACCATGCAGGTCTTTGCATGTTTTGCTCTATTATGGGGCTCTTCGGGTTCTTCCTAAGTTAGAATGCGGCTTGTGAGACCTGAGCGTGGTAAAGATCACCCGAGCGGTGCTTCACGCTTGATTGTGGATGCTTTTGGTTTTGGTTGTTCTCACTGAGTCTCACTGCCTTTTGCGCATGATATAGGGTTCTCTCGCCACTTCTTTTCCTCACTAACTTTTCCATGTTTTTTGGTACCTATTGTAGGAGATTCGATGATCACAGACGATGCTCAAGAGTTGATTTTGCGGTACGGTATCAACTACTGTTTGTGGAGAAATGACCAGCTCATGCAAAACAACATATTGCAAATATTGATTTTCCTTGGGGCTACACATGCTGCGGTCGATTTTCTCAAGTGCGGAGTAGATATACTGAGTGGCTAATTGATGAGAAGAATAGGCCTCAAAAGCTCGCGTCGGACACCCATGCGGTGGGATTTTGATGGTGTTTGAAAGTTGTTTGGCGCAAACAAAGCTAGAGCTAGAGTTTCACAGAGATCCTTTTCGTTTGATCATGTTTGATCATCTCCCAACAATTTCTTTTTGTCAGGTGCAGTGTGATTCTTCAATTCTTCATGCAATTGACCTCATTTGCCTCAGCCATTCACTGATCACAGCCAAGCGCTTTGCCTTTTGCTGCCTTCGTACAGTTGCTTTGCTAACTTAGCGAACTGGTGCGAGGAGACACTAGCAGCCCAGCATAAACTGACTTCCACTGTACACCCTTTTATGACCTGCAGCCATCCGCACCAACTGATTGTACACAGTCACCTTTCACTATTTTTCACTCCATCCACAGACACCCCTGGAACCCCCTTGACTAATTAATAGACGTGGTTGACATGGCCCTTTTGCATTTCAGGGAATCTGCAGCAGTTCACTCATTCTGTCGTTTTGCCACCGCAAGTCTCCATAGAAACGACTTCGTCCAACCAAGTGCCTCAAAGCAGCCCGGTACTTTTTGGTCAAAGAAGCCATCGAAGATGTAAGGTAGGCTCCGCAGGTAGGGTCGATCTCAATATAATGCCCATTCTGCTAAAGGACTGATGCTGGTAGAGGCTCTGAAAGGATCTTAAAGGCCCATAAATGCACATAATTGTGAAACGAAAGACATGGAAACGACCATGCTTGATCCCAATGATGGCGGTGCTTTCATGCCCAAACCATAGGGGCCGTAGCTACCACCCAACTCGTGCAGGCTCGTTTTGCAGCCATGTTTGGAAAAGGTGCCGGGGCTTGAAGCGGGCTGTGGGATCCACAGTGGTACCGCGGAGCCAGGTTCCTGATCCTGGGCGCTCGAGCATAGGCATGAGTGGGGATGAGCGTGGGCCGACGAGGTCAGGCAGCTTTGCGGCAGCTAGCGCAGGCGGCAATCCTAGTGGACGAGCTGACCAAGCACCTCGAGACCGTGACCCTCCGCCGAGCTACGACGGAGAGAATCCCGAGGTGACCTTCAGGCAGTTCGAGAAGCAGATAGCCCTATGGGAGTTCGAGACCGAGATCCCTAAGGCTAAGAGAGGAGTGAAACTACTGCGGCAACTGTCTGGGACGGCAGCAACCGCAGTCGATGACATGGAGGTGGCAGACATCGCCACAGAGCATGGAGTCAAGAACGTAATGAACAAGTTGAGGGACTACTTCATGCCACACCTGGAAGTTTCCTTGCCTCGGGCCTTTGAGGCCGCTGTTTATGGACCACCTCGTGGGAGCAAGGAGTCCTTCGGCGAGTACACCAAGCGCATGGAGCGAGCATTTGCAGTGCTCGCCAAAGAGGGAGTGGACCTTCCGGACGGAGCTCGGGGGTACATCTTATACCGTCAAGCCTCCCTCAACGAATCACAGGAGCAGCGGCTTTTGACCTGGGCCGAGGGGAAGTATGGGCGCACGGAGATCACCGTTGCCTTGCGGCGTATGGACAAGGTCCTCAAGGAGAAGGACAAGAGCCGGAGCGCCTACCTCAATGAAGAGACCTTCATCCTTGAGAATGCGGCGGGCCACCACTATGAGCCGGAGGAGTCCGGCTACCAGGACTGGGAGGACGACGATGAGAACTACGTCTTCCTGGCCGATGGTGACTTGGATGAAGTGATGGACGAACAAGACGTTCTGAGCGCCTTGGCTGCCTACAATGACACCCGTCAGGCACTGAAGGACCAGAGGCTCAACCGCGGCTACTTCCCCGGCAAGGGCAAGGGCAAGATCAACGGCTTCCAGAAGGGCAAAGACAAAGGAAAGCGCCGGGTCCACATCGAACAATTGAAGCTTCGGACCAGGTGCAGAAGGTGCCTTCAGATCGGCCACTGGGAGAAGGAGTGCAAGAATCCTCCTGCGACGGAGAAGGGGCCTGAACGTTCCTTCTTTGTTGGACTACACCCTGAGAGCCAGAGTTTTTCCGATTCGCAGCATCAATATTGGCTGCGGCAATTTGTGAAGGAGAAGCGAGCCCAAGAGGGTGAACCAGCTTCGAAGTCGGCAGCGAAATCCTCGGAGCAATACATGGAGCGGGCATGTACGACCGCCGAGGGTGACGTCCAGTTTTGTGGGATTACCACCAAAGCCATAGAGGGGGTCGTGGACACTGCCGCTGAAGGCGGTTTGATCGGCCTGGAACTCCTCCTTCGACTCGAACGTGAACTGTCGACTCGGGGGCTTCGCATCAAGTGGGTGCCAAAGCAAACTACAGCAAAGGGTGTAGGGGGAACGGCAGTGGTCGAGGGGGTTGCATTGATCCCGGTGGGCATCGGAGGCATCAATGGAGTTTTGGAGACCACTGTAATTCAAGGGGACGTTCCTTTGCTGTTGCCGGTGCGGTTGTTGAAGGCCCTCCAAGTCCTCATCGATTTGAAGAGCATGAACATGCACATTCCGTCGCACAACGTGTCGGTCCCATTGCATGAACTAGCCAGTGGCCATGTCACAGTGAATGTCATGTCATTTGCAAGTGGAGTTTTTTGTGTGCCGCCTGAAGCCGGTCGACAAGAAGAGTTTGAGTTGAGATCTTCATGCTTCGCGACTTCAGCAATGCCGGCTCAACTCGAGCTGACACGCCAATTCGATCGATTGCCCCAAGACGCCCAACGTCCACCTACTTCCCATGGCGTCGCTCCTTCAGAAGGCAAAGGCATTGGTGGGCGCTTCACCTTCCACGGACCCCGTTCCGATGGAAATTGGGCATCGAGTTCCAAATCCCCGAGTACCACTTCGCAATTGGCGAGTGGTGATGGACAAGATCGGCATCCTCCTGGTACTCGCAGCGCTCCAAGATACCACAGAAGCGTGGTGCTTGGACTTAGCCTCGCCGCGGCCGGGGCGCAAGCATATGGAGACCATCGAGGACTACTATGCCGAGGTGATCCTGACGGCCATGCCCCTGAAGCCACTTCAGAGCAAGGCTACACCGAGCACTTCCGCCAGCGCCTGTGTGCACCCCAAGATGAACCTGAAGGGTGGTGGCAACGGATCGAGCTCGTACATCGTATGCCGAGCGTGCCATTCCAGGTGGGCCCATGGAGAAAGAGCATCAGACATCCACAAGAAGCTGAAGCACGGCCCCTTGAGCGGAACCTCGAAGAAGAAGGAAACTACCTCACCGAGGGCGCCGATTACAACCTCTCCGACACCAAGGACGCCCATGAGGAGCGAGGGACGCATGGCGGAACTGCCACTCACACCCGGGTCCGAGCCCGAGAGTATCACGTCGGTGAAACAGGACCTGAGGACAGAGCTGGACACCCACGTCCAAATCATGATGCAACAGCTCCGCAACGAGCAGGCGGCCAACGCCATCCAACTCTCCCAGCTGAACGCCAGCCAGATGCAGTACCTGGCGGAGGAGGTGAAAAGGGCCACAGTGGCCAATCGGGAGCAGGAAATTCGCCAAGAGAAGCTGATGCAAATGCTCATCCAAGCTCAGCTCACCCCGGAGTCGAAGCAGGATCCAAGAGCCAGCTCCCGAAGATCTCCGCCACCCAAGGTCAGCCAGAACTGCTTATGCGGCAAGCCGGCGGAAGCTTTAGTGGTCAAGAAAGAAGGGCCTCGGAAGGGTCGCATGTTCTGGAAGTGCGTTCAGAGGCGATGCGACTTCTTCGAATGGATCCCGGAGGCCGAGATGGCGGACATCGACGATGCGAAGACGGCGGCTTCATCACTGAATCCGAGGAGGTCCAAAAGCCCAAAGAGGGAGGCCCCTGCGGCAGCTCCAGCGGCGGTCCCGGGCTCGACACCATACTCCCACTGGTCGAGGGTGTCGATAACCAGCAGCCCGGCGGACGTTCCGGTGGTGGACGTGGACGACTTCGAGGGCTAGAACAACCAGAAGCTCTTGTGAGGTGTTCTAACGCCAGAGCAAAGCGCTGGGCACGACGCGCCCAACGAGGAGAAGATCCATACTACCTGATCGAGGAGCACTACTGGGTCCTCCAAGACGGCGAGCTGGTGAAGCGGGATGGGATCATCCCTAAAGAGGAAACCGAGGTCTATGTGAACTTCCGCCCTTCTCGGAGAACAACATTCCAAGACGAGTGGGAAGAAGCCAAAACCACTCAGCTGAGCCGCAAGAACCGGCAGATGATAGAGAAGGCGCTCAAGGCCAACCAGGACAAGTTCAAAGTGACGATGGCGGAAGTCTACAGCCCTCCAAGAATTTCGCCTCTGCTGGAAAAGATGGGACTCAAAGTGGGCCCGAGCTACGACCTAGTCACCAACTGGGACTTGAGCGACCCCCATCAACGCAGGGCTATGTGGAAGAGCTTGAGAGAAGAGCGGCCAGAGGTGATTCTGGCCTGTCCGCCATGCACTGCCTTCAGTCGGATGCAGGTGATCAACTGGGGTAGAATGTCTACGGCCAAGCGGGTCAGCATGCTTCA